AGTGGGTTGTTCAATTAGACCTAATCAAGGATGGTCCACCAAGCAACAGTGGCGGCGTTGTTCATAGGGTAGAGGTCTTAGAGCAGCAACACATAAAGATCGTAAAATTTGGGCTAACTATTTTTGTAATTGCCGTGTTCGTTTATTTAAATTGTAATTACATTATTCACGATCAAGTTGTTCAACTGTGATTAGTAGTAGCGTTGTTCAATATTAATTATCAAAATATTGTTTGCGCTTTTGTGTGCTAAAATTCCATATGCAGATCTATGTAGTTCAACTAGTTCAATTTCATGTGAAAACAGGACATTTGCACTGGTACTAAACACAAAAGTGTATGTACCATTGTCAACAAAATAGTACATTATAGCCAACTAATAACAGGATATAGTGCTGTGAATGTACCACCTAATACAATAATGGTACATTAGACGATGAGTCCTGAAAAGAACACCCAAGCATTTTTTGATGACAAAAAACATAACCGAGTACCATTTAACAGGCCAGTGGTACATAAAACATAGTAAGACGTACCGTGGTTACGAGAATGGTACATAATGGTACCATTTAACTGGCCAGTGGTACGTAATACATACTAAGACTAATGAAGGTAATGCGTACATGTAATTAACAAAGAAAATGCAACACAACACTACGTAATCAGTCGAACACAAAGTCATGGTACTCTTCCCATGGATACCTATATGGGTCACCATAATCAGGCTCATAACCATCCCAAAAGTCACCGGAATCAGGATTGGACTTATTCTTGAACCTATCCTTCGCCTTGGTCAAATGACACACATACCAAGATGGTTAGTCGTTGTACTTAAATGGCTCCCTTGTGATAAGATCTAAGTGTTGCATCTCATCATACCCGTTTTCAGCCAACATCTTGCTTCTAAAATACATGCATTGTTCTTCGCTCGTATGGATCATGTCAAAAGGATCCTCTCGAGAGAAATTCAGCCACTCTATGGTGACGTGAACCAAATCTTTGTCGTAGTCCGACGTAAAATCATGACCAAGTAGTAGAAGACCAAATTTTTAACCTTCCTCACAGTGGTTATTGAGCATGTACTCAACATTTTGATGCCAATCATGCATAGGGAGGAAAAGCTCCCAAAATTTTATCAAGTTTCTGCAATAGTATGGATATCACATCCAATAGATCATGTTTTCCAGGAACTCACAAAGATTCACACTTACCGCGATCTTGTAAGCGTCAAAAACGTAGTGCATGAAACAGAATGCTTCCTTCCAAAAGTACCTAGGACCTCCTACTTTAAAGGAGTTAGGAAAGGGTACTCCGGATGGAAAACTATCCCGGTGATGGGATTTTCAAGCCCTCCACGAGCAATTGTGGCTGATTGGTGGGCGAACATCATCTCTTTACCTCTTTTGGTGAGGTAAAATTCTCGAACAATACCATTTGCATCGTGATACCCATTTTTTCATGAATTCCAACCGCTTCATAAGGCGCCTTGGGTCTTATCACCAACCACTCCCTTATCAGCCACCATTCTCTTATTTCTTTGGCTACCCTTTATTTTTTTTGACAACTTCTGTTACTTCGAGGAAACCAGCCATGAACTAATACTTGCCCTTTCTTATACTCGCAACTATCAACATGCATTGAATTTACTCCCAACTACTTTGTGTTAGTTTCGTTACTTCCAGTGGTACAACAATTGTACCATTACATTAAGTGTTCCTGTATGTTTGTGACTGTAAATTGTTCCACTGGAACTTACATGTAAGAATTGAGTAGAGGTGTTGTATTGAGCAGTGGTTATCGTGGTAAAAATCAATTAATATTCAATTTAGAGTTATCCGAATAATAAAAGCTTTATTAGTTACAGTGGATAGTAGGTAACTTTCATTTAATTTGGCCTTCTATACATCATCTAGTGGTACAGATATACGCAATGGTTATAGCAATGTTGTTAATGGTAGATATAGATGCCACTGGATGAATGTGTGTTTCTTTTGAAATGACAGCTCTGTGCCATAGTACTAGACCTAGGCCATTTAGCCTGTAACAGAGTGAACATTCACCACCGTAACTGAAGGTAAAAATTAAAATAATACATACAATGGTACATGTAATTCAAGCGAATACGAAATCAAATGTACCACCAGTGATTATCTTGTACCATTTCCCAGACTTTGTTCTTCTTTAGACAAGATAACTCCTTGGGGAACTTCTGCACCTTATCAGTGACTGCGGTAACTCGGTATTTCCAAGGTTAAAAAAATTTCAAAAAGCATTTCATCACAAAAAATTAAGTTTCCCTCCATTTCCTTTCATTTCCCATTTCATCTCATCTCCATCCCCTTCCCCAGTTACAAGGTACTCAAATGGCCGGAAATACCAATGTCAAACACTCTCCATTCCCTACCTCAGGTCACCAAATGTTCCCCACCTAGATAAACCAATAATGTACTTTCATAAAAACCTGAGGGAGGTGTCCAAAATAAACCCAAATTTAGTGAAGTTTTTTATAGGAGCAACTACAACATGGTAAATGAGATATACCAGCATGTGTAATCCATTAGAGCACATCTCCTCCAATCAATGTGCTGCCAAACTGATTACATGCTTCTACAAGATGGCAGCCCAGTTTTGGGACACCTTCCTTTTATAGAGGACTTGGTGGGTTGCTACAATGAGGAGCTTGTGTCATGTTGTATTGGATGATAAAAAAGTTATATTCCTCGTCGTCCCCGCTTACAGTACCACCTGAGATAGAGGAAGCAAGCCCAATCTTAACACCGACTCCATACTTGCTTACAGTTTCCCCATGCTTTGCCGCCACATATCTGTTGGCTCCTTCACGGATACCCTTCACATCATGACGGTCGATACTACCAACACCCACCTGAGGTTCCTGGTTGAAGGTTGTACCTTGAAGCCGAGGCTTAACCATTTGCTGGCCCATTCGTAAACGCTAAAACCGTGTTAGCTATAGAGGAGAGCATCTTGTCTCTACCCGAGAGTATGATGTAGACGATTGTGGGTTGCTCATTCTATTTTGGAACGCCCGAGGGTGCACAAGGCCCTCCTTTGGCGAGCACTTCGCCACCCTACACGAAAAATTTAACCCCTTGTCGGTCATCATTTTTGGAAGCTCGTATTGGTAAACATTACATGAATAATTGGGTTGTTCGTTACCTCCCAGGTGAATATGAAGTGGAAATACGTGGTACGGAGTCAAGGCCTGGTGGAGTTATGATGTTTTTGAAACCAAATATGCTAAGGGCCAATTTCTTGCACAGATCGAGTGTGCCAAATGGGTTGCTTGTTAATGTTGTTTTCCAGGTAATTTTTTTGTTTTATAAGATTGTTTGGAATGTAGGTTATTTAGCGAAATAAATGTTGTTTGCAATTACAGGCTCCACCATCACCATCATGGCCTCCACAACAAGTTGAATTGAACAATGACCCGTGCAACTCGGACGAGGAGGCAGAGCCAGGTAGTCACTACTTCAATTCTGGTTTGGCTTTTGATGGCTCTAACCACCATTGGGGATTTGGAAAAGACCTATGATGAAGATGCTAGGGATCAAATACTCATCCATGCTCTATGTCTTTATTTAATTAGTACTGTAGTTTTATTATCCTTTCCTTAAGACTATGTTTCTTTATGCCTAAGACTATGTTTGATTATGTCTGAAGTTATTACATTTGCCACTTTGCAGCCTTTGTTAAATAATGCTTAACTATTTGTCCTTTGTGTAATGACTGCTGTAATATTACTAATTATACAAATAGGGGGAACCTTGAATATACTACTTAACTGTGATAGTGGTACATTTAATACTCAGAAAACGCACCACTAAAATCACGTTGGTACATTTAATCAAAGTGGTACGTACCTATGTTGTGTAAATACTACTTACCTATCATGTGTACATGAATAATGACCCTTTCATATGCATCGTGTGTACATACTACGTACCTATGCTGTGTACATGAAGTCAATATGCACCACTACTATCAAAGTGGTACGTTTTGTACTTTGAATTATACCACTAGAAAACCAGTGGTTTAAGAATAATGACCCTTTCATATGGGGCAATGAGTCCAAAACTTGTCATCTAAAAGAAGGGTGAAGCGAATTTTCCTATTCTCAAGATGCAGAAAATAAGACAAGTATTGTAACCAATATGGCATAAAATGTTTAAACCAAAACCAATACATCTAACAATTTAACATATTGAATATTTTGACAAATCATATTGTTAAGCTTGTCTATAAAAGGTATTAGAATAATATGACCCAATGGGATCTTATCTGCGAGCACTCTTTTATTTCTTTGGCTCCCCATTTTTTGGTGACACCTTCCTATTACTGATAGTGAGTTACGCAGGCATGAACTAAACCCACACTCGCTGTTTCTTACTATAAATTATTACTTGATATTCGGGTTACTATAAATTGTACCACTGGTACCTATACGAACTGTAAACAGTGGTTACCCTTGGTAACAACCAATTCATTTAAATTAGGAGGAAGTCCGAATAAAAGATATATTAATTACTGTAGCTCAATTCTCCTAATTACTTTCCATGTTTTGTTTGTAGTTGGATTACTATTTGAGTTCCTAAGAATTATTATATGAATTATGGAATATAATGTTCAATTTCGTTGCTGTTTTTTTTATTGAATTGCACTTCTATCAATTATGTGTTGTTATGTTTAATTTCCTTTGCATAATTTTATTAAATTCCACTTGTGTTAATTAGTAAATTCTTGACTTGGATTGCGTTTACTTTCAAACTAGTATAAGCATTTTCCTTCTTTGTAATGTATTATTTCCTCAACACAGTCTAACTCTAAGTGACAGTTATCCTAATTCATGAATACATTGACGGATCAATGGTACAAACCACAACCTTTTAATGTACCATTGCAAAGACAAATGACACTTGTACTATACCATCGCGAACTAAATTGTAAGAATATCATTTACATTCTACTAGTGGCACTTGCAATGTACCATTAGGAAATCCATTCCACCCAATGTCATTTTGATTTAACCAGTAACAGATGTAGCATACCACTGGCATGTTTTTTGTACCTATGGCACTGTACATTGAGTTTAAATTACCCTGTTCATGTAATTACCCAACTCTTGCTGTCATGTACTTATGTACACTCCATGTAGATTGCAACAAGTAATTAAAGCACAGTTTTTGAATAATCTGCAAAATGCAACAAAACACCTAATATAGACATCACATAAAACACTTAGCCATGAGTGGACAAACCACCTCCACAGCCAAAGCAAGCTAATAGTTACCCCTGAGTGGACAGACCACCTTAGAGAGGATTACGTTTGCCAGCATGTGTTTACATGTTCAATACAAACTACTTAGAGCCACCATAGTTCAACCCCAAAAAATAATTACACCATCGCCCAGGCCACTAACATAACACATCACAGATTTCGCGTTGTTTTCCTAGAACCTGGAATCAAATCCCCCAGACCATCTTTCAATTCGTTCAATTCACACTGCACGTCGTCCAAGAACAAATTTGCCCGAGCATTAGGAATCTTCCCCTATAAATGTATGAACACACACTGTAGACAACCACTTCAGAGAACTTGACACAAAACACAGATATATACACCACTTACCACACTAAACCTCGTGGTGAATCTTCTGGCAAAGAACTTAATACACACCAGCATAAGAACACCACAATATGAGCTTCACATTGTAGGACCACAATCAACATAAACAAAAACCACACTTCCTGCCTTTCAACCAAATAAGGCAACAAGTGCTTACTTATCCCTTGGCTCTAATATCTCAATAGTGCATCTCGTCCAAGAATTTAGCTGACCAGTCTTTTATTCTGGGTCACAAAGTTGAAAAAGACGTCGCTACCACTAACCTGTAGTTTGACAAACACATTACACATAACCAAATGGGTCTTAGTAAATACCATATTTGTTTAGAATGAATGACATTAGTATTAGTACCAGAAGATCAAAATATTTGGCATGTGTGGTGAACGGGTTAAGGTACATAGAATCTATCATCCACAACTTTCGAGCCTTCATGTCTAATGCTAAGCACCACCAGTGTGACTCGTTAGGGGAATCCTTGGGAACTTCAAGCACTGGGACAAAGACCTGATAAAATGACAATGTCAATGCCATAAGCACAATTTAGAGTATATACATGAAACACATTTGAGCCTAGAGTATTGAACTATGAGAGTAAGTAGCTGACTTCTCGAATCTGCGATAGCTTATAGCTGAAATTTGCCATACTAGTTAGCAATATGTTCTTCATTTCCTTCATTCAACAATAGTCGATTCTACGGTCCAAACAAAAAAATTAACAAGCATGATCATCAATTATGCATGTATGACACACCAAAGCTGAAATGAACCAAGAACCACTTACCGAAAAGCTTGGGTTAAGCAAAATATGCTTGCTTCTGTTCACAATGTCTTTGGTGCCCCATTGCTTAGTTTAGCACACTGGCCATTATAACATAATCACTAGAAACCCGCGATTTATGGGGCACCACTTCAAAGCAAACCCTCTGGTTGGCTTCCATGTGGTCACACTTTATCAACATAATACCAGGGCTATGAAGCAACAACATAACACCAAGTATACACATAAACATATTAGAATTTATAAATAAAACCAAAAATTTAGAAAAGGCATGCACACAACAGACTTTCCACTTAATTAAATGTTTTTGAATTACCTAAGTGGATCCTTCAGGTCCTTCCAGCGCTTTACAAACTGTAGCAAACGTGCCTCAAGCGTTGTTGGCGTCGGGTGTTTGACACATTGGTGAACATGGCTGACAAGGCTACCTCTGTAGGTTTCACCACCCTCTTATCCGCAGTTCCGTTCCCCTTTTTTAGTAGACTCATCTTCCTCATCAGATGAAGAATAATTTGCCAAACTTCACTCAGCATCAACCAACACAGTAGTTCCCCTCGCCGTAACCAAGCCCAAAACTATTTGAGGTCCAGGCTCAATGTTCTCATCTTCCACTTCAGTATCAGAACAATTATGTAAATCCGAGACAACACCTTCATCAACCTCTGCGTCAACCCCATCCACCTTGGATTCATCCCCAACCACCTTGAACTCACCCCCATCCTCTGTAAACAATGGATCCACCTTAATCTTTTGAACCACACATTCTAGGTCATCTTCACTTGACATTGTATCAGTAGAAGGATCTTCACCAAGTCCTTCCCTACCTTGTTTCAATTGTTCCTTCTCCAATAAAAAACTGGCCAAATTAGGATCTGCACCATTCACATCATCATGATTTTCACCAGACAAGTTCTCATGCACAACAACTTCCTTCTCCATTGGCTTACCCCTCTCCATTGGCTTACCCCCAATCACTCTCTGGGCATTAGCTACGTCAACACACTGTGACATCAATTGATGCATTGATTTCATAACGCATTTGGTGTACGGTGGCAAATACCCAATTTTACTCACCAACAAATAAAGGATACAACCCCCAGAACCTGCAACATATCCATCATGAGCAAATTTCTTTTGGAAACTCCTGGCTGCTACAACCATCCAGTTAAATACATAAGTACACCAGTCATACTCAAACGCTTCATCGCAAACCAATAACGACGGTACAAGCTTCACTCCAAGATAGCTTGTATTTGTCGTAGCAGACAATGCGTAGCCCAAAGCTGCTATGAGAAAGGCTATCTTGAAATCAGCTTTCTCGTCATCCGACAGCAGGAATACATTGCTTTCCTCATCCTTTCGAATAAGTGCCCCCAAAGTAGCTACTAATGAAATGCTATCATTTTTCCCAAACTTTTCCAAAATTCTACTATGCTCTGCCTGCTTATCTTCAGGAATCGTACATGGCAATACCTTCTACCCCATGGGAACTACCCCATGGAAATCCCAAGTACGTACTCGACCTGAAGAGGACTCAAAGGAAGCACATACTCATCTACAAAAGTTATCAAACCATAACCCATCACCCTTGTCAACAGCCAGTACACAAACTTCCGCGGTATAAAAGCTAGGTGTATACTTAACAACCCTCCAAAACCCATTTCTATGACAAGCTTCTTCCTAGAGTCATCAAAGTTCTTCATCGCTGTCGCAAAAGCCTTCACACCATGCAAATTAGGGGCCTACAACATTACATTCAAAGGACATAAACTTCTACCAATTCACACCAGAGATAAGAAAAAGTAATTAAGCTGACAAGATAAGACCATGAACCGATTGTAGTCCTCGTATTTCACTCGAATTCATAATTTCTAACTTACTCCAATAAATCCACCTTTTCCATTAACAATTGAATTACTCTAAATTACTGCAGCTCTCCTTCTTTTCACCCCCTTTACACTTACTTAACATATTATTGAAAATACATACATTCTGTTACAACAACTACTTCTAACTCACCTATAATTTCCAATGTCTCTGTTTTACACCATTTTCAACATGTTCATGCCTTTATTTGTTCATTATCTAAAAACAATAGCTAAACAAACAATACTAATACATTCCCACTACACTTACTTGTGAATGTTTTATGAGGTATTTTAATCTTTCACAACCAATTAAGGACTCACAATATTATTACCAAACTTATAACTCAAGTAGAATTAACAATTAATCTATTTTATAAAATTGTCCTCATCTTCACATGCATATTTATTCACTACATTTTCCCACCTACCTAAACAAAGGACCAACCACATAGAAGCATTTCCATATCAAAAATTTGGCGACAAAAAAGGTTGAGACAGTACCTTTTTCGTATTTCTTGATTGGGTTTTAACGACAACCCCTTTCTCCTTCACCTCTTCTCCATTCGTCTTGTCAACCTACGTAAAACATTATACATGTAATTTATCCATCCAAATATTACTCAGTCAAAAACCTTTTATCATTATCATCTAACATCAATACCTTTTGCTTGGCCCTCTTTGCTGTCTGCTTCTGAGCACCAGTTTCTCGCTTGCGCTTCCCTTTATCAACTTTTTCTTGTAATAACTAGATTAGGAGATCCTGGTAACCATCTCTGTTAGGTTCAGGTTCTTCCTCACTAGCTTCACCCTCCTCCACATCCTCCTCAGAATCAACATCTTCAGAACCACCATCATCAAAACTAGATTCTTCAGCACCAGAATCATCAGAAACAGCATCCTCGAAATCCTATAATTCCTCTTCCTCAAAAACAGGATTAGGTTTCATTTTCTTTTTAGGCGCCTCATTCATCCGACTCATTATGGGTTTAGACCTCGCTTACACACATACAAATAATTTACAACATAAATCAACTACACCATACAACGATCACTAACCAAACATACAATCTATTAGTTTCAGGAAAAAATAACTCACCAATTCTGATCCATTCTTCTTCCTCGCCATTATTTCCTCTTGACAAATTCAAATGAACCCTACATAAATGGGATTTTCCAACTAAATAAAACCATTTCAACCAACCCTTAACTCTTCACATATAATTTTTTCAACCTTTAAATACACTTTATTCACATACACAACACTCATACCTTAATAATTTAACAAGCCAAAAAAATATACAAGAATCCATACTTACATACTCATTAATTCGACCAGCACAACCCATAATTTTAAAATTATTCATAATCCTAGACTATATTTCATAGTAGACTACAAACAAGTCAAATAACCATACTACTCCCTTCGTACCACCATACATTTCATAGTAAACTACAAACAAGTTTAAAGAATTACTAAAATTGATAAGTAGACTTTTAAATCAAATAGTAGGTTAAAAGGTGGGAACTGTAAAAAATTACAAGGTTAACAAACAAAGACGATAATTGGACAAACAATAATTCTAGATATGATAACTGGGCCTAAGCAAACAAACTATGAATATTATCTTCCCAAATAATTCAGGACCTGTTTAATGATGTTCATCAAATCTTGAAAAGGTTGGAAAAACTGCATATCGCACATAAATTACATGAAACAGATACTTAAATTGTGGATGAAAGCAAATTAATTAACCTGGAGTAGTGTAGTATGTACAATCGACCACCGCAACCCAAAATTTTAAAATTATTCATAATTCAAACACAACAACTCAGCCAATCGCCAAACCTATTAACAATTTATACGAACACCACAACTCAAACTCATTCCAATTAAATATCAGGTTACACAAACAATTTACAGATTAAATCCTAATTCTCTATATTCAATTGATAACCCTTAATTTCATATACTAATCCATCACAAAAACAAATGACATTCTCATATTGAAGAAATACACATGAATTTATTAAATAACAAAAAAATCGTTTCAAGCATAATCATACAAGGGTTTTGTGCCCATACCTTTAATCGCCCAGACAAGGTACCCCTTTGATTTTGCACGGCTCCATCGCACCAAACTTCTGCTTCTGTTGCTCCGGCAGGAACCACCTTCGTTGTCTTCGTTGGCACAGAGGAAGGGAGTTACAGAGAGGAGAGGGAAGAAGAGAAAAGTTTCTTGACTCCAAATGAATATTATACAAGTTCGTTTTTAAAAAAAAACACCTTTTCGTATTCACAAAACCAAGCACCGTTACATTTTAAAATATAACAGGAGATAGAAAGTCAACCTTTTACTGTTTTTAATTATGAAGCTTGGTAATTTGCACTACTACCCTCCTATTTGCTTTCTTAACCTATAGGCGCTATGCGCTGATATGCACCCGTTAGTAGTTAACTAGTTATTGAAACACTCAGATATTGAGAATGTCTTAGACAGCAGGAAGATCGCTCCTCTCCTAACAGGAGCCTGATCACATTTACATTCCGCACTTTACTCCTCATACACGTTCTAACTTGATCGTCGGAGGCGGAACTCCCACCCCCAAGAGTCTTCGTTGTTTTGCAGGTACAGGCAGCCAGAGGTCAGTCTTGGTGCTATAACTCTCCCGCAGGACGCTTAAAAACGCCGAAACACCCACTACTCGCCATTAGAAATGGGTCGTCATAGGGCCAAGATAAAGACAAGGCCAAACAAACATAGAAACACAGAATCAGCAATGCTGAGTACATAAGCATAAACAGTACACACTAACATGCTTTCATCCTATCAACATACAACTTACCTTGTTGTACCTATTTACAAGCATATAACACAACCAACCAATAACTAGCTAAATAAATTGCTTATTTAATTTGATTACGCATCGAACGGGTTTCCCACCAAATCCCTGCCCCAATTAAATTGAGGTAAACTACACCGGGAGCTAACCAGGTAGTTACATGCCACATGAAAGTGACTGGACGTCCTGTGCATAAATAAATAAAGGAAAATCCAGCGTCCTGTACTCCCAGTAGAAGTTATGAACAAATATAAAGTCGCATAACTCCCGCCATATGTTCATACTCGAGGTATATACGTTTCAAGAGTTTTGGTGCGTAATCTCTTTCACTCTACGTGATTTACATATTTTTAGACTTGGTGATGATTCTCAAATCATAATACAATCAATCATAATAAATCATTCAAGCAATCAAACATACTAATTTAATTATTGAATAATTATTGACCACATAAATTAAATGTTGAACCCTTTTTTAAACTACCTCGATGTTAAATAACACCTTAAGCGCATAAAGCACCGCAAATCCTATCTCTCGGTGTTTAGAACACCTTAAGTGCACTTAGGCACTGCAATACATATAGTTCCTGTGTACTAAGACACTTAATAGCTTAATTCCCATGCTTAAAGGATCAATAAAAATTATATGAACCATGATAAAATTTCCTTTTCAACCAAACCAAATTGAACCTTTAGTTTAATTAAACATGCTCTCAATTATACCAATAATAAAAGTGTGGTTCATAATCAACATGCCAACATATTAATTCCATTCATCAATTCACCACAAATAATTCATACTTCACAAATCAATCACCAACATCAATCCAATCAACAATTCCAACCAATACCTATCATGATACTACCTTGGATTAATTAAACAAAGCCTAGCATGTTTCTATACACTTAAATAATTACCGAGTACGCGAACGTACCTTTAATATGATCTCAAAATCGCCACGACTACACGAAATCACTCACTTGGAAATCTCTTAAAATCCAAAATTACAAAGAGACATTAATACCTATTCAATATAAATTTCCAGCAACATATACACTCTTTCAATCACTTATAAACCCTCTAAAACAAGCTGAAAATTAATTAAAAACCCCTACTTTTATTCCCAATTAATGGGTAATTGAAAATCCTTTCAAGAAACATAATTCTAATATTTATATAAAAATTCCAGCTTTATAAAAACATGTAAAATTGCTGTAATTATGTTTAAAAACACTTATTTCAATAATTCCAACCAACTACAGTCAATTTCCATCAATATACATTAATTTAGAAACCTAGGGTTTTCAATTTGAGGCTTTTCAATTCAAAAAACTAAATCTGAAAAATTATACTTCCTCTGTTCTTTTTTACTGGACCTGTTTCTTTTATCACGGTTGCTTATGCAAAACTTTAACGAGCAATAACTTTAATTCTCCATAAGTAAATTATAAATGTTATATATTATGATAGTACTTATTGAGACAAATTCAAAAATATCCTACATAAATATGTTTTTCCTTACATATTATTCACAAAAGACGGTCAAAAGAGGGATGGTGAATAGTGTAAAAGTCAAAGCGGGTCAAGTAAAAAAGAATGTAGGAAGTACATAATAATCATAATCAAACATCATAAAAATCATTACAAAACCCAAAAATAACAATTAAATTAAGGCTAGATTAGAATTAAAACAAAAGAGTTTTTTTTTTGACTTTTTTTTAAAAATTATTTAAAAAATCCGCACCACACGACGAGGAGGGGGCTGCTGCCGCCCTCCATGCCGGCGGCTGCTAGCGGTGGTGGCCAACCGGTGGGAGGTGGAGGTGGTGGTGGCCGACCACCTTGTGTGTGCATATGGGGTGTGTAAAATAAAGGGGAGGGGGAAAAATTTAGGGAGAGAAAATAAGAGGAGAGAGAGGGAGAGAGTTTACCTTTCGGTATTCTCCACCTCGGGAAAGATCTAACTTGCTCATAAGATGGGTATTTATACCCAAAGGCGTCATTCGAAGGGCGCTTAACTAAGCATGCTGTGAATATGTTTGGCACTCAGAGGAAGCGGGATTTGACATATATGATTAGGGACACGATTAGAGACAAAGAAAAGAAGGGAGCCGCCAACAAGTTTTTAAGGAACTTGTAAACCGTTCACGGATCATTTAAAGGCAACCACAAAAAGGTACAATGATATACATCAACGATTGACCCGTGAAGGTTACACCCCATTCATAATCCATGAGATTACTAACTCCATATGGTTCAGAACCACAAAAGGAGGATCGAGGATGATGGTACGAAGTAAGTCATGGATTTACATTCGCCTGTATTGGCCTCTACTCGATTCTTATTGTAAAAAGTATTCCTGCGATCTCAAAAGCATGCAAACAAAGATTCAATTTGCTCCAAAATATTATTACGATAAATTGGTTGAATGTTAATGCAACATATAATTCTAAAATATTGTGATCACCTGATTAACAACAAGATTAAAAAGGAACCTAAACCGATTGTCCAAATTGTCTTATTAGGCGTTATATTCAATTACATATTCCCCTTAAACATGCAATATAGTGATCAACAATAAAACAATAGAATAACATCAATATTGGAAGAAATTCAACCATTAATCCAACAATTAATATATGACAATCATAACAAAAATTGTTAGAAATATAAGAGGAACAAAAGGAACATGGTTCCTTACTTTGATTGGGTTTGCTTGCAACTACAAAATAATAAACGCGTTAGTAACTTCAAGGAAAAATAATAATAATAATAATAATAATAATAATAATAATAATAATAATAATAATAATAATAATAATAATGAAAATTAATGCAAATGAAAGTAGAGTTGATTTGGGGCCAAACCCTAAAACAGTTCTACCTTTCACGTCTTGCTTTAAGTACGGAATTTCGAGTTAAGTATGGACTCTGGGGAGTGCTTAGGGGATATATTGTGAAAGAATAAGGAGGCTAGCATTTAGGATAGAGCAAAAGAGAGAGAAGAGAGAATGATTTGATGAATAAGAGGGAAAGAGAGAATTTTTTGGTGCTCGAAACTCAGAAATCAACCTCGTATTTATAGACAAAATATGAGGGGTGAAGCACGGAACCCTATAATCCAAGCGCCGCGAAAGAATTAAACCTAAAAATTGCCGTGACGCGGCAAATGTTACCGTGGCGCGGCAGAAATTGCCGTGTCGCGACATTTTGGTTTTCTGGAAAATCATCTAGGTTCATTTTTATCTTCAAATTTGCACTAAGCACGTGGTAAATTAGGCGCC